TTCTCATCTGATCGCAAGGTTTTATTTTAGATATAATTAGAGAAAATTCAGTTGCTTCAGACGTCCAAAATCACTTTTTTTTTTTTTATATATATATATATATATCGAAGATTAGCAAGTTCCATAAAAATGTGAGAATATTAAAATAAAAAGTCGGGAGAATATATTGTAAATTCGGTGTTGGCGGGAGAGCGGTCGAAACGGGAGTCTTCACCTAACGGAGAGTGGCAACTCTGCGTTAGTATCAATAGAAACATTAATTTAAAAACTGACAGAATTATCATCCTCATTTTTCTAAGTGGCAACAGTGCTGATTTTCAAGAGTCAGCAGTGGTCCAGTATACAGTTGAATGAAAAACTGTGGCCAAAACAAACCACATTTCTACAAGAATGAAACTATTCAAAATGATGCGATAAAATCTAAAAGATAAAATTTAAAAAAATCTGATTCGAATGAAAAATGATTCGAATTTTGAAAAAAATCGCTTCAAGGTGCACTGGCTCTTGTCTAGATGCACCTATATACCAAATTTTGTAGTCCTGGGTCTATTAGCTTATGTGCAGCCTGAATGAAAGACACACAGACTCTTTCTTTTATTATATGTAGAAATTAGTGAATATTATCAATAAAGATGGCACAGGTTTCCACAGAAGCATTTTATATTATATTACATGAATATGCATTTAAACTAATATGAGAATGATATGTATCTTCAGTTTATTTGGAAAAAGGAAAAACATGTAATGCAATTCTGTGATACCATTTAATGTTTTATATTAGATACATTGTGAATTTTTATTTAAATTAATCAGATTAAAGAGTAAAATTAAAAAAAAAAATTATGTGAGTCTTGCTTTTAAACAGCTTAGTTTATTAATTAATAACAGCCGGATTAAATCTAAAAGATAAATATCTTACATTTTGCTGAATGTTAAGAAAATTAAATGAAAAATGAAACAACATATTTGCAGTATATGACACAAAATAATTTTTCATGAGTAATAGCCTTAGAAAAAAGGAATATTTTTTGTGGGTTCTGACACTCCACTTGTAATAAATAAAAGGAAAATCATTGCTAACGTTAAAAAAGATGGTCATGGCAACACGATGATTAAATGGGTGAGACTGTCACAGCAAGACAGTGCTATTGACTGTTCCAATGTTAATAGTTCAACAGTTTAAGCAACTTACATCAAAAGAAATATGTATTAAAACAAATAAATATTGAGCCCCCCTTTTTTTCTTTTTCAAATTTTGACTCCTCTAAGGTCAAATGATTAACTATTTCATAAACAACTATTTCATGCTTTTAATTGAATAATTTCTACATGTCATCTTACTAGATTTAAAATGATGATCTAAAATCCAGAAATTTCTGAAATTCCGACAGTTCCAGATCTTGAACATTGCACTGTAGTTATGAAATATTTCTAAATACTTAATCAACAAAATTACTTACGACAAATAAGAAATTAAAATATAACATTTTAAAGTAAAAAATTATTATAATTTTTACATTCCAAGAAAATGCAACCTTCTTTGCTGTATAATGAAATCTTCAAGAAAAGTTAATATATATTTATTCTTTTCCTGGGTAATTTTTATGCATGAACTAAATTTTTATACTGCTAGCTAGTCACTTGCAGCTGCGATAATATTCCCAGTCCCACTCCTGTCTGATGCCCTATTTAGAACACAAGCAATAAAAAATTGTAGGATTCCCCCCCTCCCAAACAGAAGTAAAATAAAAAGAAAAAACCTGATGTGTACATGACTTCCTTGTATTGGAATATTAAATTATACATACACATTTTTTCTTGCATTTCATTTAAACTTTTTGGATTGAAATAAATCTACTTCGCCGACAGCGCATAAACCACAATAGAATAAATGCGTTCTTTAAAATTCACTCTAGTTTACCATAGCGACACTCTAGCGCTAGATTCAGGAACAGTATTAATAATTATACAAACAGTGAACTTATATAAGAATTATATAAAGAAACAAAATAAATGTTATCTATCCCAAATTATATAACAGTTAACTTATATATTGTTTACATTATAACTCATAATGCACAAAATTTATATCATTTAAAGAAAGAATTATTAATCGTGGAAAATGTCTATTCAAACTATAATAAAGCTAGAATGATTGTTATAAAAGAATAAGCAAAACAAACAAAAAAGAACAGTTTTTCAAGATGATGGGAGATTTCTCATTTAATTAATTAGTTCTCACTTCGCGAGAAGGCAAAATACATAAAACTCAAAATATCTATATAAATACGAAAGTAAATCTCAAACCACTTATTTCCTAGAAAAATTCCAGAAAGAATTAAGCATGATTAATTGGCATAATAAATGATGCGTTTATTTGTTGTTGCGAAGCTAAGTCTCTAGATTGGCAACAAATCCCACAATCTCCTGTTTCAAATGTAAAATCAATGGCTGCCATTAAAAACCGCTCGCGGCACTTAGACAACTTAAATTGTTGATAATTCTAAAAATATTGCACAAGATTTACTAAAGCATAAAAAACCTTAACCGGAAGATAAAAAACATAATACAAATATTTTTAAAGTAAAAAATGTACAATTTTACAAAAACATAAGAGTTAAAGAAACTGAGATCACCGGAGCGGTAACAGAGTGGAGATATATATAAATAAATATATTTATATGTTGTGCGGTCGATTGCAACCAAAATACGAGGGTACATCTACTGTTATAGCAGTCCTATAACAAAATTAAAGTTCTGAGCTACCGTTTTTGAGTATGCGAGGATACGTAGTACGTTCGTTGTACGCACGTACGTACATACGTTCGTACAGACGCCACGAAAATTCCTTCAGAAAATAATTTAAGCAGTTTATAATTTTTTTGAAGGAACGGAGTATTTTATTGTTCTACGTACGATATCACTCAAAACATCGTTAAATTACATTAATAGTGGTCAAAATGGATAATTTTAGTTGGAAAATATGCTGCCTGAAAATTTTCGCGATTACAATACTTCCTTTTTACTTCGTACAAGGAAGTAAAAATGATCATCCAATACTAGTTACTTTATCTATAATTACAATATCAGCAATGAAACCTAAAAACGAATAATTATTTTAAATTTTTAAAAGTTTATGAAGGAACAGATGTCTCTAACCAATTGAAGTAATTAAAAATTTATTGAAAATGATTCATATTAAATACAACCTTTTAAGTGACATCTTTGAAAACATTTCTAAGTTAGAACTATACTTATTTACAAGAATATCCAGTGTTCCAAAAGGATTTGCTTGACAGATTTTCATATCAAACAGACACCTCAATAAATATCATCAATGAAATTATAAAATCTACGCATTCAACGTAAACATTGTGAAAAGGAATGTTATTATAGAACATGCAGCACACTACTAGTGTTTAACCTACTGTTTGAAAACTTATTTATTGTGCATTGTAAATGTTCAGAGATGAAGACAGCAATGGATTCACAGCAAAGTGAAATAAATTATCCCAAAATAGAATAGAAATTTTTATATTCATATTTTGTCACATCGTTTAATAAGACTATTTCTATTTTCAATTGTATGAAAACAATATACAGTCAAAAGTCGTTAATTCGGACACCCATAATCCGGAATGATCTATAATCCGGACCTCAAAGCTAAAAACTTTCTGCGCATGCGCCACATTGACACATGCGCATAGGCGTTTACACTTGCGCGTAAGACCTTTTACAACTGCACAAGTGCAAAATACGTTTTCGCGTGCATGTTTTATGTATAACGGTGGGTATGAGCTCAAATTATCTAATTATCTATTTCAGTTAATGTTGATGATTGCGTTGTTCCTATTTTGAATTGGATCCGGCTTATTATTTTTTGTAGACTGTAAGAGCAATACATAAAGTAAAACTTGAACTTTCGATTATGTCAAATAGAAATTTCCGATTCTGGAGCTCCCAAAGGATCGTACGAAGCGAAAGTATGTTTCGATGTCCATCAAAACAAAAAGTGGAATTGCTGCAAAAATGGATAAAAAAATGAGGAGAGAGGTAGTGAAAACGAAAAAATTTCGATGACAAGTTGTCGGTTATCTCGGCACAGCAATTAATGGGACTTGAACAGCGGAACTTTTGTAACTGAACAAGAAATTATGTCTGTTTATAGAATTAAAGAGAAAGTATTTATCACATAAAACGAAGCAAATTAAACAACTTACATTGAAAGAAATGTTTAATAAAGTAAATAAATAAATATTGAGCTTTTTTGTTTGTTGTTGTTGTTGTTGTAAATTTTATACCCTTAGATCATAATTGCTCTTTATTTCATAAATTACAGTATTTCATATTTTTAATTGTATAATTTCTGCATGCCAGCTTACCAGATTTAAACTGATGATTCTATAATTCAGAAAAATCCCTAATCCGGAATCGCTGAAGTCCCGACGAGTCCGGATTAACGACTTTTGATTGTATATATTCATTTGTCAGTTCATCCACATGAAATCAACTTTATGATTTTCTCTGCAATAAAAATTAACCTAAGTAACTGCAAGGTATCTGCAGGTCACACATGAAGATTCACCAAATTAGTAAAGAAATTTTAGTTCTAATATGAATTCTAGACTAAATCTACTTTAATAAGTTACAATTCTTAACATGTGACTACACAATCACCAGCTGAAACATTCAAAATTACATTTTAAATAGTTTTGTATAACTCACTTATAAAGGGGGAATTATTAATAAGATAAAATAAAAATTACATATGAATAATTCTGATGTCAACAACAATCAATTTAACAGCAAATCAGAAGGGGGAATTTTTAATAAGATAAAATAAAAATTACATATGAATAATTCTGATGTCAACAACAATCAATTTAACAGCAAATCAGAAGGGGGGAAACTAGCACATTACACTAAAAAAGACAAAATATTTTAAAGAATATACATAAATGGTAGTTTAGTACTTTAATGCTATCAAAATAAAATCATACCGTTGCTTCAGTTTGCTTTGCAACTATTTCAACTCCTACAGATGTCATCATTTTCCGTTCATTTACTATGGCTTTTACTTGCTCTTTTTTTACAACGATTTCCTTTTCGATGTTCGAAATTTTTTCTTCAACTTTTTTTATATTTCTATAAACATAAATGTAAAATATATTCATGTGATATATTAATGAATTAAAAAAAGGTTAGGGTGATACATATATTTAAAACTTAAAATGTACAAAAAGCATGTATATAATATAATGCAAGATATTACAAAATCTTACAAGTGTTTAACAAAATTTAAGATGTGAAAGCTATAAGAATAGAATGACTAAAAATTATTTACATAGTTAATTTTATCATTGCAATGACTTATTTTTAACAAAAATTAATCATAAATTTGTAGAATAAAACAAAACATTTTGAATTCTAAAAACTCACAGTGATAGAATAAATTTTATTAATTGTTTAGCCAATATCTGGAGAAACTTTGCATTTTTGTATATGCTCTAAGGTAGCTATCTCTCTATATATTCAGATATAATGATTTCAGAAACTTTAATTTCTTTTTTAGGAAATTATTTTTTGTATGGTAAGGCTTTCATTATTGGGAATAGAGAGGAATTGATGTAATTAAAAAATATTTATGTATTATTCGTGTTGTTTTGTATTTTTTGCTGAAGTTGGAGAATTTCTTTACTATTTTTTGCATTCCTTTAAATATTGAAGAATAAAAAGAGATTTACTTTTTTAAATATCTGTATTACAAATTCATTTAATGATATTAATAAATTAATATATTAATTACTGGCAATGGATAAGAAAAATTTTAGCACATCTTATTTGATCTAAGGGAGAAACAAAACAGGAAGTTATAATTGAAATTGGGTTGCGACCAATTCATCCTCTTATGCATGTGAAAACTGCAACAGCATTGACATTGTTAACACACAAGCATAACCTTTCAGGTTTTATTGTTTTCATTTTTCTCAAAAAGCATCCCAAATAAAAAAAAAAAGTAATGCAAGAAAACTGCAACTGGAAGAATTCACGTTACAATCAGCACCACACTCACATCATCCCCCCCAAAAAAAGAAGAAAAAGGGTTTAAATAAAATATAAGAATGTAAGATAACAAGAATAATTTAAAAAAATATTCTGACATACAGTATTAGAAACATATTTTATTAATTACAACAGTTTAATTAAAATTATCATTCGGATGTATAACAAATTAAAGTATTTTAATACTAATTTATACCAATTAATGCATTTTTACAAAAGAAACTAAAATTTTAAATGTTTCATAATTGTGTTTCTTAGTTTTAAATTACTCAGTTAGCAATCAACAAATTGATTATATTTAAAAGATAAAGATTTTGTGCTTAGCTTGCACAAACACAAAACCTTTATCTTTTAAATTTGATGCAAGCAGCAAGTATCTTTTAATCATTAGGAATGGCAACATACTGAAAACAGATTACATTCAAGACGCATGGAATTAAAACCTTTAGATGTTATAAGGTATTTCTCCCACCTTCTTGATGCACTGGGCTCGTATTCCAGAGGTCTGTGCTTCGATTCCCGGAGAGGGCGTTGCACATTTTTCACTTCTCCTGCATTAAAAAAATATACCTAACGTCTTTACAGTCGCACCCAAACTAAAAAGGATGGTGAATGATGATTCTCCCCACCCAGTATTTGGCGATTGGGTTCCCTAAAAACCCCAGTCGGGCTTTAAAAGGGGGAGTATATAAGGTATTTCTCCTGCCTTATTGGCATGTCTTCATGGTGCGGTGGTCTGCACCCTGGGCGCGTATTCCAGAGGTCCGTGGTTTGATTCCCGGCAAAGGCGTTGCTAATTTTTCTTCTCTCCTACTTCGGAAAAAAAAAAAAAAAAAAAAAAAAAAAACTAATGACTCTACAATGTTAAGACTCCAAACAAAATTCAGGTGGATATTTAGCTAAAGATACTATTTAGGAATTTACTCCGAACTCAGATCTCAATTCTGCATTTTTAACATAAATATTTAACACACAGACTTTAAATGCAAATTTTTTTAAATAACAAATGCATTTAACAAAAAAAAAAAAAAAAAAAAAAAAAAAAAAAAAAAAAAAAACTTTTCTAAGAAATACAAAAAGAAACCTTTTTGATGTCTTCATATTAACAGAAGACTTTGTAATAGCTTGAGAAACATCAGAAATTTTTTTTGAGAGGAGGTCCACAGTTTTCTGAACCTTGTTACATTTCCCTTTACTGTTTTTTAATATTTCAGCTTGTAATCTATGAAACAAATTGCAAAAAAATGAAACACATGAATTCAGATATTTCATATTTTCTAATCAGTCAACAAAAATATATATTAGTTATATAATTAAATAATTTTAATTATCAATTTTCAATATTTTTTATTTTACTAAAATACCAAATAAATATAATTTAAAATGATATTTTGTTTCCTGGAGTTCAAACAGATATAAAATTATAAAATTTATACTGGAATCTAAACTGGTATACTTGCAAAATAAAAAAATATTCTGCCATTCATCCCCAACTTTAAATTTAGCAAAAATGACATTTTTTCATTATTATTAAAAATTTTTTGGAGAATTCATTACATACATATAACAAACTTCAGAACCAATTTGACAAAAAATAGCAATAATAAAAATAATTCATTACAAGCATGTCTTTTGCTGGTGCAATTAATGTAAATACACAAAAATCTAAGACGTTGAACCAAAGAGGTAACCCTTATGAACAGCACATAACATAAATTTTTATTTCCGAATAAAATAAAAACCAAAACTCTTAACAATTCAAATAAAGATGGAAGACACAAACGAGAGGGAGGCGAGGGGAAGAATCATCTGATATGTTTCTTTGGTCATCATCATAAAAGCATATCAAATTCCACTTTTCTTCCCATTTAACTTTTTATACTCTTTGTTTTAATTATTAGAAGTTTTTTGGTCCATTACTAAATATTTCTTTTATGCTTATGTAAACAAACTTAAATTTATCTATCTATACACGTATATTACACATTAAAATGTAATATTCTGTAAAACTACACTGGTTATCATAAATTAAGGAAAAATCACAAAATAGCGATAACTCCCACAAAAATAAGCCAAACCATGTAAAATTTGAATATGTTGTCAAGTAAGAGTAGCTGAGTAAAACTGCGATATGCAAATTAGTGGCACTGCTTTCAGAATACGTCATCTGCGAGAAGCATAAAAGTCTATGTTTGAGAGCAAGCCCACATATTTCACTGTGACAGTGACATCAGAAATCTGAGATAACCAATTCATAACAATGACCTCCAGGCATCATTTGCCTGCAGAACTGCGATGGAGAGCCATTGGGAGACTAGAGGCAAGACAAACAGAAGTGGCCAGATGGCTAAGTGCGAGTCCTTCTGTGGTTCGTAGACTTTAGAGGCAATTTCAAACCACAGATTCGGCATCTAGGAGGTTCAGCCAAGGATGGCCAACTGTTACACCGAGTGCCGATGACCGATAGTTGACATTATGTGCACGCAGGAATAGAATCGCTACTCCGAGTCTTCTTAGATCCTCCCTTGTTGCAGCCACCGGAAGATTGGTGTCGACGTCAACTGTGCATAGAAGGCTTCATGAAGGTAGTCTGTATGTGAGACAACCAGCCATTTGTGTGCCGCTCAAGTCACGCCATAGGAGGGACCGTTTTCAGTGGGCACGACAACATGTCCACCGGACGCCTGATTAATGGAGGACGGTTCTCTTTATGGATGAGTCCAGGTTTAGTCTAGAAAGCAATAGTAGGCGTTATTTGATATGGAGAGAACCTAGAACCCGTTATCATCCGTCATACATCTGTAAAAGAGATACATACGGAAGGGGCAGTGTCTGTGTTTGGGGTGGCATCTCTTTGGGCGGACGCACAGACCTCCGTGTCTTTCCAAGGGGAACCGTGAATGCTCAGATTTATAGAGATGACATCCTTGATGTTTATGTGCACCAATATGCCGGGGCAATAGGTGATGCTTTCCTATTACAGGACGACAATGCAAGACCACACAGAGTTCGCATCGTAGATGATTATCTTCAACAGGAAACAATTATGCGCACGGAGTGGCCTCGATCCCTGGACTTGAATCCTATCGAGCACGTTTGGGATGCTTTAGGGAAATGTCTAGCTGCTCTCTATCCGCCCCCTCAGACCCTTGTCGTGCTTGCAACTGTTTTGCAAGAGCAATGGCTCTCGCTTCCTATGGAACTGATAGACCGCATAATTGAAAGCATCACACATCGCTGTATGTGCTGTATTGCTTATAGAGGCGAATCATATTCCATATTGAAGGTACTTTTGCTATTGCAAACTGACACCTTCGATTTGTTCATTTTATACATGTGCTAATTTCTATACTACCATATTTGTCTGGTAATTTCTATTTATGTTATCTGATACCTTACTATGTGTTGTATATTGTGGGTAAGTTTCATTAAATTCTGCATGTAACTTTTTCAGTAATCGTGATTTTTGGGATTTTTCCTTAATTTATGATAACCAGTGTAATTAAAAGGTATAAGCACATGCTTATTACACTTACTTAGAAACCTTTTCTTCAACAACTGATGCTTCTTCTGAAGCAATATCATATTCTGTTAAAAAAGAGAAAGCATAAAGATGAAAAATTTCAAATAGACTTACATGTCTTAAAAAGAAGCAATTATACAAAAAAAAAAACTGATTGAAAAATTAATAAGTATTACTGCTGCATACGCACATGAGTTTAATATCTATTATACTTACAGAGGTAAAACAGATATAAATATAATAATTTCTAAACATATTAATTTATATTAGAACAGATCAAATAAAAGGCAAATAACTGATAAAAAATCAAAGGAATCCAAAACAACAGTTTTATTACACTGAACAAATTTAATTATTTTTAAAGACATCAAGATTTCATTATTATTAAAAATGCAGTATAAAATAATTGAACATAATTATTGCTGGTAAGAATACTACCGTATATGCTCGTGTAATGTCCGCGCTCATGTAATGCCCACACCCCAACATTACAAATAAAATTTATGTAAAAAAAAGGTGATCCGCACAATGTCCACACCCCTAAAACTAAAGAATTTCTTACTTTAAAATATACTTTTTTTTTACACCGCTTTTCTCCCTTTAGTCAATAAACATCTTTTAAAAAAGAATATGCATTTGTTTTGTCTTTGGTTGGCAGCAGGATGGAAAGCAGAGACTTTCCTTAAATTCTGGTGCAGCTGCTATTCAGTCATAACATCGCTGACAGCAATCCACTTAGTTGATGCAATAAATAATGGCAATCCAAACAGGTTTTTCACCACACTGGCTTCCAGGAAATACTGTTTCGTAATAAAATTACTTTTCCCTCCATTCCTATTCGGAGCATTCACATATTTCAAGCTTTCTCTTTTCATTCATTGTATCATTTGGAATTTGAGGTAGTTAGCAAGTAGTGTGCTTGCAATGGGAAAATACAGCAGCTATACAGTGCCTTTTAAACTGAAAGTCGTAGACTTTGAGCAGGAAAATGGAAAAAGAGCAGCAGCAAGAGTATATTAGTAAACAGTAAACATGCAACTGAAAACGAAAAGTAAACATGCAACTGGAGCAAACAGTGTGATCAACTGGGGGCAATGAACAAAACAAGACCTGCGTTTCGTGGTTCGAAATGCAAGTTTCCGAACTTAGAAAAAAAAAAAGTAGTACCATATGTTCGTGATATGTGTGCTGAAGGGTGTGCAGTAACATGGGAAATGTGCCAAATAAGAGCGCTTTCTGAGGCCATGAGAAGAAGACACTCCTACATCGCAATTCAAGGCAAGTGAATGTTGGTTGCAGCGAATGATGAAACGAAATGGATTTTCATACAGTGTGTCAGAACAGACTTTTAAAGAAAAATAATGTGTGCAAGATATTAAAAGAACCAATGTTTATTTAATTTGCATAAAAGTAAATATTAAAATTTCAAGTGTTGGTTAATTTGTGCCTCTATATTGTGCTCCTGTGCAAACTAATACACGGCGAGTGTTGATAATGTAAATAGAATAATGTGGATGGGAGAAAGTGAATTTGTTTAGAAAATTAGTAGGCAATAGGAAACACAGTGACGAATGATTACAAAATTTAAAAAAACATACTTTATACAATATTGATACACAAATAGCTTAATTTAAAATATATAACATCCAGATATCTTGCCACATTAAAATTACTATTTCCTGCTCAACATTTATCGCATCAGAGCAAATTTCTAGATATTGTAGCCAAAAAAATTTTGGATAACAGTCTAACAGAGAGGATTTTACCATTAAACACATAATCTGTTTTTGTTGTTGTGACTAATTTTACTTGTCTGAAATTAGAGCAAGCCGAAGGAATTCATTGTGTCAAGGAGTCAAGATTGTGCTAGTCATTAGCAAGAGTCTTGGGCACCTAGGTGACAGTACGACTTTGCTGAGTTCTGCACCCAATTCTGAAGAAGAGAACCAAGGAAGCAGGTCTGAGGGTCACAACCCTCTTCTCGTACCACCAACCTCTTGACAGGATTTTCAGCCAGCTGCATATTTGAGTATCTTCATGCTGCACAGACATTTACTAACATCATGCTTTCTCTAGGATCCAAACCCGGGCCCTTTGGTATAGTAGTCAGAGTAATTAACTACTGTACCGTTGGCCACCTGGCCCTAGCTGGGCAGCAAGTATAAATCTTGTCTACTATTGCAAATTGAGAAATGTAAGTAACCTTTTAAACAAAAGTGAAATAAAGGAGAAAAAAGGTCAGATTTTGAAAGGTAATTCCCCCCCCTCAAGCTAAATGCATGCTTCTAAAGCATTTGTTGGGAATGAGCAAACCAATCTATCATTTAAGATATTTTCTCCCTCCTTCCAGCATGTCTCCGTAGTATAACGATAGCACACTCAGTGCATATTCAAGAGATCCACATTTGAGTCTTGGCGAGGGTACTGCTAAATTTCATGTCTTCTGCTTCAAAATGATTTAATGACTCTACAGAGGTGCCCAAACTAAAAAGGTGGTGCGCAATAATGCCTCACCACGAGGATTTGGCAACTGGGTCCTCAAATCCCCAGTCATCCTTTAAAAGGGGGAATAGATACGGTATTTTGTCCCTCTTTCTAGCATGCCTTCGTAGTGTAACGGTATCACACTCTGCATATTCAAGAGCTCCAGAGTTCGGCAAAGGCGCTGCACATTTTTCATATCTCCTGCTTAAAGTAACCTACATCTCTACAATTTAGCCATCTCATAATTTAGAACAATGTCCACAGAGCAGTAACATGAGTTGACTAATTTTATACTTATGAGAAGGGAGTACACATACAAACAGGGAGTCACAGGAAAGTCAAACTGATACCCTTGGTTTCAGAATATCAGTCAGCTTCTGCTGATTACTACAGCATCAAGGACAACAAAAGCTGACGCTCATTTCTTTCGACTGTAAACTAGTATAAATAAAAAATACATTAAAATCTGAAAAAGAAAATTACAATTTAAACAAATAAATAAATTTGAAAAGAGAAAAAGTAAGAGTGTAAATGACACAATTATAAAACTTCATCACTGTCATACAATTTTATATTTGATGCAAATGATAATTTATTTTGCGAGTGACATGGTGAACAAATTCTCTATTATATTGATGGCTATAAAACAATAGTTGCAGCAAAATGGTTTTAAGACGTATAGATATAATGATTTTCTAAATAATTCAATTCATTATGTGACAAACAATGCAATTTTCTAATATGGAAAATTTAAAAAAAAAAAAAAAAAAAAAAAAAAAAGACTTTATGAACTGACAAAAATTTCTGACCTATTAAGACAAAAACTGTTACGTAGATACAATAATATTTTTCTAAAAATGTTATATATACGGTGGTCATAAAAAACTTTCTCTATATAAGAGCCCCAAGTGGCCTATCCGCTCAACCAATCGAAATGAAATTTCAGATATTGTTATATGAAGGTATGCACCTGAGATTGCATGATTTTAAGCAATCAGTTTCTCACAGTTACAGATACAGTGAAAATTTTCAAATTTTTTTAATGTCAACACTCATTTTATCCTGCACAACATGATCAGCACATTGTAACACCACAAATGGTATTGGAACAGTGTAAAACATTTGCAAAGAAAAGCATTGTAAAGGACAAGTATCAACACAAGAAAGAGATCATAAATAACATATGCAATGTTTCAAGGGAGAGTCATCAACTATAACTCTCCAGTTTCACGGCCAGTGCATTCCTACAACCTCACTCTGATGGATTTCTAGTTCTGGGAATATCTGAAAGCTAAGGTGTACATATCAAATCCTTGAGATTCGTCAGAATTGTAACATGCCATAAAACGTGAAGTTATACAGATTCCTTCTACTATTATTACATTCATCATTATTGTTAACAACCTTCTGTATTAAATGTGTTATCATCTGTGAAGATGGGCATGTTGAAAACTTGTTATTCCAATAAAAGTTTTTTTCCTTCCCCTGTCTTCTGTTGTCACAGGTCCTTTACAATGCTTTTCTTAGTAAATGTTCTGAACCTGCTATTTTCATCATATGTGTATTGTTCCAATGCCATTTATGATTTTTCAATGTCCTGATCAAGTCATGCACAAAAAAATGTGGGTATTGCCATTCAAAATTTCAAAACTTTTACCACTGTAACCATAACATGAGAGCTCTATTATTTGAAATCATCAAAATCTTGAGAGCATATCTTCAAATAACAATAGCTGAAATTTTATTTCAAATGATTGAGTGGATAGGCCACTAGAGGTTCATATATTGGGGAAGTTTTTTTATAGCCACTCTGTGTATATATATGTGTGTGCAAGATAAAAATATGCAATAGCCCCCTTAATTTCTCATTTTTAATTCGGGCATTTTCTTTATCAATCCTAAAAATAGTGATTACTTTTTCTGGACTGCATCATTTCTAGACCAGTCCATATCTCATGACTTGCATAATGCTGATGATGTAGCTAATTTAGAACTTGAACTCAAAATTTCGAGAATTGAAATCTTTTCTATTTGTGAGCTTCCACATTGGATAACTGTGCACTTTGCCCCTAGCTAAGATGCTGACATGCTACTCTCTTTCTATCATAACACTATAAAAAATGTAAATGTTCTTTAACAGAATTAGAGTACCAAGTGAATTGTGGCTGCAAATGTCTAAAATGAAACAAAGATGAATATTTAATCCGCCTCCGCTGCCAAGTTTTCTTTTCCATATGGATCAATATTCTGCGCCATCAATATTTCTACATCTACACCATTACATATATATTATATTTGCAAAGGAGATAATATATTCAATAATCTCTTTCTCTCTCTCCATATATATATATATACTTTTTCTCTTTTCTTCTATTTTCTCTTCAAGCATCTTCACTTTTTGCTTGTCAACTGCAGATTCTTGTACTTTCTGCTTCAGCTCTGCTATTTGAGTTTTCATCATCTCAATGTTTTCGTTATGAGCCTATAAGGTACAAAACAATAGGTAGCATATATATATATATATATATAAAAACAATTTTCAGTCAATGAAATGATGTACAGCCTTATTAAGAAAACTTACAGTACAATGTAACTTCTTTTTCTTAATAGAATGTTGAAGAGACGAAAGTTGTTTGCTTTTTTGTGATATTTGATCTTCCAAATTTCTATGAAGCTGCTTCAAATCAGATAACTTTGTATACAAATTATTCAGGGCAACATTCATTTTCTCAACATCTTCAGATGAAAAAGAATTTTCTACAACTGTCTGCCCCATTCGTCCTTTTACAACCCTATTTCCACCACCAGTCATTGTCCCTGAAATAAAGAAATATGAATCACTACTATCGTTGAACAAATATATATATGGATATCAATAAAACTACATACAGTAGAATTCTGGCAATCTTCATACCTCATAACAACGGATTCTATGGATTACAGATTTGTAGAGATTATAGATCTTATTATTCTGAAATTTTGCTTATATTTTTCCCTTCCTAATTTTTACATTAAATTTGGATTGTTTACAGATATAAAAATAACCATACAATATTTACAACTGAAGATCAATTTAAACAAGATTTAATAAATTCAAACAAAGACAATGTCATTGCAAGGAGAAATAGGTACTTCAATATTAATGCAAAAAACCTTAGTGCAATTTGGTGGTTTTTTTTCACAAATGAAGGTAAAAGTTACTTATAGAGTGCAAGTACATGGTTTTTTTTAATGTTTTTTAAAAACAGATTCTCAAACGATCAGCACTTATTGTATTGTAAGTTGGCAAATATTATTAACATATGAAAAGGAAACATACTTTAGTAATTTCAAATAGAAAATTTTATTATTAATTAAGTATTACCCGATACATTAATAAATAAAACACTTTTTTCTCCCCTCCCCCTTTTTTTTTTTGGTGTATGTGTGTGTGTGTGTGTGCTATTCTTCTTTCCAAGTACACAACAATCTGCTTACCCTTAAAAAAAATTAGAGAATTGCAGAGATTCGGTAACATGCAAGCTCCAGTAATACTGGCTATCTACCGATGCATCTGCTCGTTGTTTCCTTCAGACATTTTACATCAAAATTATGTGTTCCTGAAGAGATTTTACCACAGTTTTTTGATCGATGGCAAAATTCACAAGTGCTTATTTTATAGTTAAGGCCTAAAACATTACAGTTTACTTATCAAAACCATTGAAATACAATAAAAGTAACATATGCAAGAATGCTGATATTGCTTGATTAAAGCATTGTTACGAGCATGATCACCTGAAGAATTGTTAAGTGCATGGTTGCCAGAGTTTGTTACATTCTAAAAAGTTTGGTGACTTCTACTAAGGTGATTACAATAAGAAATAAGTATCGAGAAAATGTATGGTAGAGAAAATAAAATTAAAGGGAAATTTCTTGAGGAAGTACTTTTAAAATGCATTGAAATACAGGGTGATTCATAAAGAAGTAGACTCTTTCCAGATGCTGTAAAAAATAACAGTCAAAGCTATGCACCACCTCAGCAAACCATAGGTGGTTGTACCTTTAAAGTTTGTGTCTTGCATCTGACGGAAGTGACAAAGGCAATAGCATGCATGTCATGTGACTAGTCAGTTGAAATGGCAATGTCTGTAGTGGAGAAGACTTTTTGGGCTCTTGGATTTAGCAAAGGGGAATCTGCAACTGCTGTGCATCAATCACAATTCAGAAAAGAACCTCCAACTAGAAAATCTATCTATCAATGGTGTGAAAATTTTAAAACTACAGACTGTTTGTGCAAAAGTTCTGGATGACTGTATTGCAAGAAGTTGCTGATAGAATTTGTACCACCATTCAATGAAACCTGAGAAAATCAACATGGAGGGTGAGTCGTGAAGTACAGATTTTTCAGCCCATTATCAGGAGAATTTTGAGAAAAAAAGCTGAAAATGATTCCCAAATTTACAGTGCAACATGTGCGAGATTCCCGTAAGGTAAATGTGTTCTGTGCAGTGTCCAGAAAGAAAGTGTTTATCCCCTTCTTTTTTCACGAACAAACTGTCATTGGAGCCACTTTTGTGGATATGTTAACTCTTTGGTTGATGCCCCAGTTGCAGGATAAAAGACAACTTCATTCTCCAATTGGATGGTGCACCACCCTAGTGGTTGGCCTACATGCGAGATTACCTCAATGAACATCTCACTAACTGATGGATTGGACGAGCTGCAGAATACAACATTCCACTTACCCAAAGGCCAGCCAGAAATCGATTTAATACCTTGTTATTTCCTCCTGTGGGGGTACCTACAGAAAAAGGTATTTGTTCCTTCCTTCTTATTGCTGCAGTGGAGCTGAAATAGTGTATCACAGCCCTTATTGATGAACCTGATTCAGCTACCTTAAGACATATCTGGGTGGAAATGGATTACCGGCTTGATGTGCGTCATGCGACTAAGGGTTCACACATAGAACATCTGTGACCGTCTCTAACAAAACTTAAAATAATCCCATACAGTTCTGTTACAGGTAACATATAATAGCTTACACTGTTCTTGATTTTTTGTGCATTGAAACTGTGTACTTCTTTATGAGTTATCCTGTTATTTCATATAGAAAACATATGTTCACCAACAAAACTAACGTAATTTCCAGAAGAAAGGCCGCATCAGCATAAACGCCGCACTCGAGAAAAGTGGCGGGGAAAAAATTTAAATTACACAGAAACGCTGCAATAGATTAAATTGCGCGTGACATCGTAGTGGGCCGTATAGATGCAAAAACTCAACCTTAGTCATGATATATGACATACCATCTCCCTTCGGAATAGTCTTTCGTTTAAAAATGATCATCGGCTTTAGCTTGTCACCGTTTGTGGCACAAGCTAACACACATGTAAATGACGTTCTTTCATGCCCCGTCATAAACAGAGATACAGTTTTTGCACCAGTTTCATCAACAGTTCTGTTTGCAGGAGAGTCGAAAGCTAACGGCGTTTCATCCATATTTATTATCTGCGACCGAAGAATTTTTTTTTTTTTTTTTGTTTTGTTTGTGTGTGTGTGTGTGTGTGTGTGTGTCAATAATAGCTTGTCACAGATTTTAGAAAAGATGACTTTTTATCCTGCCAGTCCATTGGTAATTGTTGCCCGACTGTTGTTCTAGTACGCACAGAAACATTTTTTCTTTTCATAAATCTGCTACACCTCCTTTGAAATCATTTATGTTCATTCGTTTTGCTATAAATTTTGCTTGTAAGCAAATTTTTACAGTCAAAATTGCCATTCCCTTTCCTTGTTGCTCCTTTACCCAGTTTGCAAGGTCGTCCTCTAGAGTTGGCCACCTTACAGTACCACTTCTTTTGGCTCGTTTCTGTTGTGGCATATTTTTAAGAAGTTCTTTTTTAGTTCTCCAACGTCGAATACATCTATCGTCCACTTCAAACTCTCGAGCTGCTGCTCGATTTTCAATTTGTTCAGCACGTGAAATTACATTAAGCTTAAAACCAGCAGTATAGCTTCTGTGCCGTTTAGGGACATTTTCAAAAATTTTCCGCTCCCTTCTTAAAAACTATCCAACAACTACTTGTACCCAAACTGATGGGATCTGTATCTGGCAGAATGCCAAGAAAAATCCATTCATGCTGAAGGGGAAATATGTCAGAGTTCGTTATTGCGAGGCAGGTGGAGTCGTGTCCACCTTTGAAAAAATTGCAGAAAAGGCAGGGGTGGGGAGAGGATGGGTCCTGGAAGATTCATCGAATGGCAGAGGAGAGAGACTATTCAAACTGATGAGACTGTTGATTTGAAAGGGAGAAGAATGTTATTGTTCTGAGATCTCGTTTAGAGTGAATAAGGCATGTAGGTCCGTTTAAGGGAAAGAATGTAAACAAATAATGTTCGCAAAAAGCAACTGAGTGGTCTTTTGTGTGGGAACAGCACCAGTCTATGCACAATGACAAGGCCATCTAAACTATGTACAATGAGCATCATAGGAAATATTTTATTTTTAGTGCACCTAAACGCAGCATGGGTAGAAATGCCACACCCGCTGAAAATTTAAGTTTTAAACACGTAAACACCGCGGCGTTTCTTCCGGAAATTACGGTACTTTCAAAGTAATTTTACACTTTTTAAAGAAGTTAGCAAATATGTAAAAAAATAAATACTCTATTTACCAGCTATAGGATTTTCCTTAAATTGCATTTTTATGCTAATTCTGATGTTATGTTCCGCATATATGCTATAAGATTAAAAACACTACCAGTCATTTACAAAGTGGTGAAATTAAATTCTAAATTATTAGAGGAAAATTACATTGTTCTATAACTCCCTTATTACCTATACCTCTTTTGACAACAGAAGAAAAGTTATAAATGCTATTTTTCAAAAAACCTACAGAAAATGCTAAACAGGCTTCCAGGGTTCATACACATTTCTGCACATGGAAATTAAATACTTTTAAGGACCATTAATGAAAAAATTACAGACCTATGAGCAAATAGGAACTGAATAAATTCAATTAAAAATATTATTACATGCCTGAATTTCACTTTTGTAATACCATCCTAAAAATAAAATTGATCCATAAGTAGTATGCATTATTACTAAACATGAATTAACTAACATAATTATTAATAAGTTTGAGAATAAAATAAACTTCATGCAGTTTATCAAGTAGCATTAAATATTTTACACTTATAATAGTTGGACATATTTGAAAGAAGATAAGTGACATTTACGTTTTACTAATAATTAGCTTTATGCTGATTTTTTTTATGTCTCATTTTGTAACATACTTGGTCAGTCTAGAGGTTTAGTAAATAGTAGGGAGATTTTATGTCAAACGGCATAGGTTAAAATGAGAAGTAAGATCATAATCAGCATGATGCATAACTAAAGACTGAATGTTGTCCCTCTGCTGCTTGCCTAGAGAGAGACTGCTGATTAGAACAAACCTGAAAGGCCTGATGTAGGCACGGTTGAGCAAGTGTCAAAAGTTAGTCAGGCTCTGCTTAATGCAGTTAGTGTCATAACTTTGTGTAGAGTTCCTGGAGTTGTAACTCAGTTAATATACTTTAAGGTTCCAATAAGTCATTAAAGCACCAGAGGTGATAAGTTGTTTTGTATATACAGTCAAAAGTCTTTAATCCGGACGTCCATAATCCAAAATGATCTATAATCCGGACCTCAAAGCTACAAACTTTCTGTGCATGCATGAATGCATACGCATGTGCATAATATCTTTACGCATGAACGTAATACATTTATGCATGCGCGTTTAATGTATAACGGACGGTATAAGCTAAGCTAAAATTATCTATTTCAGTTAATGTTGTAGATTG